CCCCAAAACCCCAAAACCCCAAAACCCCAAAACCCCAAGATATTTCAAGAAGGTTGAATTCGATTAATAAACTATTTTCTTTCTAATAGATTCAATGAGCTCGATTCCAATACCTTCGTAAGACTGCAATGACTTTGAATCTTCTCAGTACTCAACTAATTCTTGTAAAAGCTCATTTAGCTTCATTATTACCAGATTTTTCGCCTCTTCAGCTATGAGCTGCTTGGTTTCATAATCATTAAAATGAAGTAAACTGTTAAGTTTTAGTGGGACCCATCTTAACTTCTCAAATGCTGTGTTAAGGACCTTAACATATTCCTCAATAGACTCAAATTCTTGGTCTTCATACTCCATGCCGAGCTTGAACCAGATTTCTCTCTCAGTACTAAGCCTGAGGCAATGCTCTAAAAAGCTGATTCTTTCAGTTATAAGCTGAGTTTCTTCAGCCAACATGGGTTTATTTTCCAATACTTTCCTCTGTGCAAGGTAAAATTCCCTCACAAGGCAAATAGTTTTTGCACTAATAGACATAATAAACCCATCAGCGTTCTCCTTCTCAGCGCTAAGGATGATCTTGACGATAAAATTCCTAATGATCTGGCGAATGTACTTTGCAACACCTTCAGAAGTATTGCTCTCACTAAGAGCGACTCCAATGAGGCCATTGAAGATGTATTTGAGTTCCTTAAAGATTTTCGGAATGTCAAATACTCTTTCCTCGATCAAGCACTGTTTGAACTCTAAGACTCTATCTTCACTCTTTTCAATGAATTCCTTCAGGATAGTCTCTCTGAAAGCGACTAAGGGTTTGATGAACTGGAAGTTCATAATTTCCTGCTTAATCTTGTCATTTTCTTGCTCACTAGAGTCAAAGATCTTAGGAAGCTGTTTCTCAAGGATAAAGGTCACATGATTTTCTAAAATATAGAAGATCTCAAATAGCTCCTTCAAGTCAATCATGTTCAGATTGAAACTCTGAAGTTCCTTCTTGAACCCCTTAGCAAATGAAGAGTTGAAGATGGAGTTAGTGCAAGCTTTTACTCTCTCTTCTTCAAGATGAGTGCTCTTCAGGATATCTATCTCATTGATCAAACTTTGATGCAACCATGAGAGAAGTTCTGATAGCTTATCTGAAGGCAAGGACCCTATGACCTGGTACTTCTTATCATTAAAAGATTTCTCAATATACCTTTGCCTAGACTCTATTAGCTCTTTTACAACATGGTTGTAATAATCACTCTTTTGTTTTAAAAGTTCGAGTGTAATTTTGACAAATGTGATAAATTTACTGCCCCCTTCAAGTGGGCTTTCGAAGTCATCCATTTTCAGTTTCAAAAAGTTAACAAGCTTATTATAGGCGTTCTTCTCAATATATCTAGCTCTTTCTTTCAGACTATTACTGAGATTATTCTCCTCCTGCTCAACCTCAAGTTGTTTCCCAAACTCTTTGATTTTATCAAGTTTCTTGAGAGCATCGAGGAAGTTCTCCTCAAAATCATGGGAGAAATTATCAGGTGTAAGCTCGACCCCGTCCTTTTCGAATAGTATTTCCTCCTCTTCAGGGGTGATTTGGATAGACTCATGGAGTTGGTGTAGAATTTCCTTTTTTATGGCCAATTTGTTCCTCTCAAGCTCATATCTTTCTATCTTGTTCATGATTTTCCTCATATCAAAATCCTTAGTCTTCAGTTCATGTTTGATCTTATTCCTGATACTGGTGATATCATTCCTGTTGTGATGGAGAGGAGCAGGGTCAGGATGAATTTCAGTGCTGTAGAGTGTTGAACTGACTAACCTTACCTAGCGAGGGAGCTTTTTCCTAACTTTTCCTTGTCATTTGTTATCATATGAGATATCTTATCTGTTATCTCAGTCAAACCACTTATTTTACTACAATATTCTGAATAATAATTGATCATTTCTTCCTCAACTTTCTGTTTAATGTGATTCTGAAGCAGGAATGGGTTGTAAGTAATTGGGAGACCCTCATCTTGTTTCTTCTTTCCCTCAATGTTCTGCTCAATAAAGCCCTTGTCAAGTTTGAGTCTCACCAGGCATTCTCGAAGAGAATCAGGATCAGTACTTGAAGCGCTAGAGTCCTTTGATTCTTCCTTAGGAGCTTTGGTTGATAAAGAAAGGATTTTATTTCATCTTTTCTCAAGAATGCTCTCCATTTTATATTATTTCAAATTTATTAGAGAAATATGGGGTTTTGGGGTTTTGGGGTTTTGGGGTTTTGGGG